GAAAAAATCATGAAAATGTACTTTAAAAATGTTTACACAATAATGATAAAATATTTAGGTCTCTCAAACGACCATTTCCAGGGACCCTCCAGGGCCTTAAAGGAACCTGTGCATTTAGAAACCCCGAATCTTCAATAGCTTCATAGTACATTTGCTTCTATTAATAACCAGATACCATATTCACAGTAGTTATCATGTAGCTCGAATGTTTTTAGAGGTTTACTAGAATTTTATAGAAGTACAGTACACTTCAATAGTGTTAGAAATTTTTTGTATTCAGCCATCCTGGAATCTTTTTCAGACCCTACTATTATAAACTTGGTGGTTTTTAAATCATAAGCAACCCTCTTAACTTCTGGTTTCATATTCCTTATCTGTAGAATGGGCTTAATATCCATCTCAAAGAATTACAAATAAAGACAGAGAGAAAGTACTTGGTACAGTTCTGGACAAATAGTAAATGCTCAATAAATATTAGCTATGGTTACAGCAACAGTTACAACATTAACCTACCGTATGTGGGAACCTCCTATTTTTCCATTATACAGTTAACTTCCCACATTGAATATAGACCAAATGTGGTATAAAATGATTTTTGAAGAGTTGTGCAAATTCAACTTTTTATTTTAAATTTGAAAAGTAATGTTATTAGAAACTTAATATTTACAACAGAACATTTGGAAAATAGAGAAAAATTTTAAAGCACCCATAATTTCACCAGACTTACTGTATTTTTTCCTTTATGCAATTGGTTGGGGTGTTGTCCCTTAACTGAAAGGCTGTGGGTTCAATTCCTGGTCACAGCACATGCCTAGGTTGGGGGTTCAGTTGGAGAATGTATTACTCCCCTGTATGGCAGGCAACTGATCAATGCTTCTCTCGTTTATCATTGTTTCTCTCTCCCCCTTCCTCCCTCTCTCTAAAATTAATGAAAGAAAAAAAGTCCTCTGGTGAGGATTAAAAATACACATATATTGGATTGGCCAAAAAGTTCATTTGTTTTTTCTGTGTGATGGCTATAGTAGAGCTTAGTTGTCTTTAACTTCATTTGAAACAATTTTGTTAGATTGTATTGTGACAGCTGTTATATCAGCTGCATCTTAAAAAAACTTGTCAAAAGTGATGAATTTAGCAACCTAGGTGCCCATCGGTAAACGAATGGATCAAAAAATTGTGGTACATATACACAATGGAATTCTATGCAGCAGAGAGAAAGAAGAAGCTACTACCCTTTGCAACAACATGGATGGAACTGGAAAGCATTATGCTGAGTGAAATAGGCCAGGCATTGAAGGACAAATACCATATGATCTCACCTTTGACAGGAAGCTAAAGAATAAAACAAACAAGCAAACAGAATAAAAACAAAGACACTGAAATAGAGAACAAGTGGGCAGCGACCAGAGGGGAGAGGGAAGGGAATTTAAGGGGAAAAAGGGGGAGGGATTTTGAGGAACAAGTATGAAAGACACAGGGATGAGGACTGGGGGGGGGGGAGTGGGAGGGAGGGGGGAGACGGGGGTGGGTGGGATGGGAGAAATAGATTAAAAAAATGTACTTGAAAAATAACTAAATAAAATTTATTTTAAAAAGTGATGAATTTTTGTGTAGCCATTTTAATATTGAAGATGGAAAGAAATAAGCAACGTATTTGGCATATTATGCTTTATTATTTCAAGAAAGGTAAAAATGCCCTGGCTGGTGTGGTTCAGTGGATTGAGTGCTGGCCTGTGAATGGGGTGAGGGCAGGTGGGAGGTGAGGAGGATTGTGTCCCCCTTTAGGTTCTCAGTCAGGGCACGTGCCCATGTAGTGGGCCAGGTTCCTGGCTATGGGGTGTGGGAGGCAACCGGTCAATGTATCTCTCACATATGGATGCTTCTCTCACTCTTTCTCCCTCCCTTCCCACCTTTCTAAAAATAAATAAATAAAATCTTTAAGAAAGAAAGGTAACCTGGCTGATGTAGCTCTGTGGACTGAGTGCTGGCCTGTGAACCAAAGGGTCACAGGTTTGGTTCCCAGTCAGGGCACATGCCTGGGTTGTGGCTGGGTCCCCAGTAGAGGGTGCTCAAGAGGCAACCACATATTGATGTTTCTCTCCCTCTCTTCCCTTCTCCTCTAAATACAGAAAAAAATTTTTTTTAAAAGAGTGGTAAAAATTCAGCTGAAATGCAAAAAAAGATTTGTACAGAGTATGGAGAATATGCTGTGGCTGATTGAACAAGTCACAAGTGTTTTGTGAAGTTTCATGCTATAGATTTCTCCCTGGACAATGCTCCACAGTCGGGTAGACCAGTGAAGTTGATAGGAATCAAATTGAGACATTAATTGAGGGCAATCACTGTTATAATATGTGGGAGATAGCCAACATACTTAGAATATCCAAATCAATAAAGTTATTGGTGAAAATGAAAAATGTGTCTTTTATGGAAAAAATCATATGGACTTTTTGGCCAATCCAGTACATATGCTTAAAATTAGTAGACCCAATTATTCTGTTTTCAGAGTTTGGATATTATGGCATGATTATTAATTTCAAATGCATGACAAATCTCAAATGTTTATATTTTATATAAAACTATTTTAGAAAAATTAGGTGAAAGGTATAAATTCTGTTTTATTTCCATACTTACTAAAATTTATATTTTTATAAGGTTATGATCCTAGTGTACATAGAACTTGATAGCATTTTTTTCCTACATTACATCAAAAGCCTTTCTCCATACTACTGCATATACAACATTCATAGTAATTAGAGCATCTGAGAGCAAGGCTTAGTTTCCTAAACTTCAGACAACTGTATGTGAAGAAAGTAAGGCAGGCTAAGGTGTGACAAGTCAGAAACTCAGAGAGAGTGCTTTCAGTCTGCCTGAAACCATAATGTAGAAAATGTAGAAAGAGAAGTTAGAACTCAGGAATTCTTGGCTTCCAGCTAAATGTCTAAATCAGCAAAGAATATAAAGCATTGTCAGTATAATACTAAATGCTGTATACACTTCCATTTCTTATTTAATAGATGCAAAGTGGTGGAATACTATTCAATGGCAAAGATTTGTTTGTCACGATATATTATTACTCGGGTTTCAGCTCTCGAAATTGGGTAAACATACTCTCACTGCAAAGGGATCTTTCTTAAAAAATTAGCAAGGCAATGCAAATCCTCTACATATAGAAAAGGTCACAATCTGGTCATTGTTCTCTGGATTCAGTGACATTTGCTGTTGGAAATAGGCTTTTACCTTTTAATTATGCTATTGTGTTCACATTCATAGATTTCAGAACACAAACTCTTCCTTTTAAGTGTCTTTGTTCCTTTAATGTCCTGCTGCAAGAATTCAAGCCACATTTAAAAAATTATAAAATATACATTGAGGAAAAAATCCGTATGTCCATTCTGAGTGCATGAGTAAACAAAATGTGGTGTGTACCTGTAATGGAATATTATTCAGCCTTAAAAAGGAAGTTCTGATACAACATGGATGAACCATGAAGACACTATGCTATGTGAAATAAGACAGACACAAAAGAACAATTGTGTGATTGTGTGATTCTACAATATGAGGTTATCTCAGAGACAGAAAAGAGAATAGAGGAAACCAGAGGACTGAGGGGAGGTGGGCAAAGGGAATTATTTAATTGGTACAAAGTTTCAGTTTCAATGATGAGAAGCTTCTGGAGATGGACAGTAGTGAGGGTTGCACAATAGTATTAATGTACTTACTGCTACTGAACTGCACACAAAAACTTCACTCAAAATGGTTAAAATGGTAAATTTTATGTATTTTTCATAATTTAAAGAAAAATCTCCCCAAAATAACATGTACTAAGAAAGTGTATTATACATACTTAGTTTAAAAAATAATTATAAAGCAAATATGTATAGGGGTGGGTAAAAGTAGGTTAATAATAATAAATAACATAAAAATAAACCTTTTCAATCATAAGACTGTAAACCTGCTTTGCTCATTCCTGTATAATCACAAACTAGATCAACAAATAAAATATTATCAGAGGGTACCCCCCTGTCCCTCCCCACCACAATCCTTTTTTTCCTTACTGAGTAACCACCATCCTGACTCTAAGATTTGCTTTTAAAAATCAGGCCGTAATGTGATAATACAGGAGAAGTTAAATCAATACTACAAAATGTAACAGAGTATTTAAAATCCAATATTTTCCATAAATGCAATTTTTGTCCAAAATTTAATAACTGTTAAAGTGCTCTTTTCCTTCTTTCACTCCTGAAACTCTTTATATTCTAAAACCTTAGTTCCACCGTCGACCTCACCTGCAAAGTTAAAAAAACAACACACAAACAACAAATTTTGTGTAGATTTTAGATTTTCATTCCTCCCGCTCTTACTGACTCCAACTACAAAGAAACAGTGATTTAAACCCTTTGTGCCCTTTTAGAAAATTACACAGATACCCCATTGTGGAACCTTATAATCCCTTCGTAGAAGAGATTAGCATATGAATACAAAGCAAAATTAATCCAGAATACAAAATGATCTACTGATTGTGAAGCCCTTGTAATCTTAAAAATGTATTTATTTCCTCTTATTGTGTTGCCCCTTTAGTGGTCTCAGGGTTAAGGGAACTGAGCTTCCCCTTTGCTTACCCGGAAAAGGATTTTAAAAAATAATAATACTAACAGATTCTAGGAGACGCAAAACCAACAGATGGTCCCCAGAGCCAGTGGAATCGCCCGTGGAATCTGCTACATTCGACACGAGCTTACTCGTCGGCGAGGAGTGTAGAAAGTGCTGTTCGCAGACTGTGCGATGCACGACAGAAAGCGACAGGAGAGCCATAGTGCTGACGTTGAAGGCCCGGCCCTGTGAGGTTGCACAGGGTAAGTGGCGTTGGCCAGGAGGCTGTGGCGAAGGGGAAGGAAAGAGGATTTGGGCTAGGGGCGGGGCCTGTGGCGCAGCGTGGCTCCTGATTGCTGGAGCGCGGCTGCCAATCTCACAAAATCACTCGGTTAACCAGTGCGCTGGCGAGAGGCGCTCAGATATACTGAGTGAGCCCGGAGAAGCAGTCTCAGATCCTGACGGTGCAGCAGCCCGCAGCCTCAGCTAGGGAGTCCCAGCCGCTTTCAATGGAGGAGAAGCCCGGCCAGTCACAGCCTCAGCACCATAACAGCCACCACCATCCGCACCAGCAGCAGCAGCAGCAGCAGCAACAGCAGCAGCAGCAGCAGCCGCACCATCACCACCATTATTATTACTACAATCACAGCCACAACCACCATCACCACCACCATCACCAACAGCCTCATCAGTATCTGCAGCATGGAGCCGAGGGCAGCCCTAAGGCCCAGCCAAAGCCGCTGAAACATGAGCAGAAACACGCCCTCCAGCAGCACCAGGAAACGCCGAAGAAGAAAACAGGTCTGTGAGGGAGGACGAGTGGGGGAAGGGGAATGGGGGTGGGGGATAGGGGAGATGGGGGTGGGGCTGGATCTGGAAAGCGCGGACCCGGTCGGGGTTTGGGGGTGTGTGTGACTGTCTGTCTTGCGACTCTGGGGAAGCTTCCTTTCATTCTCCCAAAGCTCGGGCTGGGCCGCGGGGTTTGCAGGGCCTTCCCCTTCTACTCAGCATGGGAGAGGCCCAACTAGGCCGGTGTGACCTTCCCGGCCCCCGCCCGGGCTGGAGGGAGACCCGGAGGGTTGGCCTTGCAAGTCTGGCATTATTATTTTTTTCCCGTTTACCTGCCTGCAGCCCTGGGAGAACCTTAATTTAGAGGCCCTGAGTTGGGGTGAACCTAGCCCCCACAAAATCCTTCGGGGTGTAACTCAGGAAGGCCTAGCGAATCCTGACTGTGGTGGTGTCGCGAGACCCTATTGCAGGCAGCAAGGAGAGGGTAGGTGGGCAGAGTTGAGGAAGTGCCCTCCCTTACCCTCCACCCCAAGCCCACCTGTGGCCTTGGGGTTTCCCGTGTGGGGGGGGGGCGGTTGGGGACCCTCGTGTCTCCGGTCATTTCCACCCCTAGACACCCCTTTTGGGCACCGGACCCCGCAATCAGTTCCCGCAACTGCTCCCCGGCCGGCGCCCGGGGCCCGCTCCCCCCCAGAGCCGGCGCGGCTGGAATGTTCTCTCCTCCTCGCGGGGCCGCTTCCTGTCCGCCATGTTGGAAGCCGATTCCTGTCACCGACTCCGGCCCACGGAGGAGCCGAGGGGGGAGGGTGTCGAGGGGCGCCCGGTGCGGCAGAGCCGGTGGCTCGGGATACCCACCCGCGGTCGCTCTACCCTTTGCACTGTGGGGGTGCAGCGGCCCCCGGCTCGCGGCCGCCCCTCCCCCCGTCGCCGGCCGGGTTGTGTAACCCGGTGGCGGCCGCGCGGCCCCGGGCGGGTCCCTGGGGTGAGGGGTGGGGGAGGGAAACGGCCACGAGGGGAGCGGCTTGCGCTGGGCGCCGCGTTTCCGGCTCCCCGGTGCGACGTGAGGAGCAGGCGGTCGGGGTGGAGAGCCGGCCTCGAAGCGGGGAACGGGTCTCGAAGCGGAGCAAAGAGAGAAGGAGGCCGCAGACGCCGGGCGGTGTCCGCCACGCTCCTCCGCGCTGGAGGTGGGGGGGGGGGTTACATTTTGGGTAGAGGCGGTGCCTTTAGGCCGGGTGGGGTATCCAGCGGGAACCGGGCTCCCCGGTCACGAGTTTCTCTGCCACAGGAACCTTGTCTCCTGCCAGGTTCGCTCACGACTCCGCCTCTCAGGCTTTCACTTGGGCCCTTTCCTTCTAGCAGCTCCCTTTTACAAGAAAAGGTTGTTCTATCCCCCTTAAGCGCTTCCCGCCCCCACTGCCCCCATTTACCTTCGAGGCTTGGGTAGTGTTTTTGAAGATCGAGAATTGAAAAAGATTGGGTGGGGGGAGGGGGCAAGTTTTTTTACCGTGTTTTTTGTCCTTAAGGGTGAACCTGGGTGGCTCATCTGTGAGGTTGGTTCACTACCATCTTGCCTCGGATGAGGCTTTTTTTTTCCATGTTGAAAGGAGAGGTATTTTCCCACTGTCAAACCTATATTGATCTCAAAACCCCTATTTTTAACAAACATTAAATTGTGGGTGAAGTCATTTTAGAAAACATTTGAGGAGAAATAAACTTAAAAGTTTATGGCCACACAGGTTTTTGGGTTTTTTTTTAATAAGTGTTCTTTATCCATTGAAAAGAAATGAAGAATGGTAAGAAATGAGTGTTAAACCAGCATGTCAAATGTGACACATGCAGTTACTTGAGAGCGGGAGAAAAACTGCTTTTCTGTTTCAGACTTAATGTGTCTTGAAGACTGAAATTGAAATGTCATTTTCCATTTTGGGGGTGGTAAGGACTGATGGTGTGCAGTAGAAATGAACATACAAATGGGTTGTGTTTAATCTTAAAGGATTTGAAACTGTAAAAACTGTAAGAAAATGTACAACACTGTCTTTTTAACGTTACAATTTTTTTCAACTTTGACTTTAGAAAATATTGCGTAATTATGATTGCTTGGAATATAAGGCAGTGTTACTGAACGGTGTTTTATCACTCAGATGTTACTATATCCCTGCAGGACTTCTCTCTACACATATAAGCAGCCTCAGTCATTCAAAGTGGCATCCCAGGAGGGAATAAAGAGGGGAAACTGGGCTTAGCAGTTTTGAGGGGACATAAACATTTTGGGATGAACAATTTTTCATGTGTGGCCTGTCACAGTACTGTTGCTTCAACGTGCATGGTACTAATTTAGTAAGAAAAGTTATGAGGGTTTTTTAATGTATCTGCAGAATGTTGAGGTGGGTTTTTATGACTTACAAACCTATAAAGAGGAACAGTTTATCCAGAAGAGGGCGCAAGAGAGAGCCAAATGTGCTCAGTAATTTCAGTTTCTAATCCAAAAGCTAGATTTATCAGGACTCAAGTTTTGCTGAGTCCATTTGAAGTAGGGTTAGATGCTCGAGCATGGCAGTCCTAAACAATAAAGACACTGGAAGGAGAGAGGGAGTTTCTCAGTAATTTAGTGTTTACATTTTCCTTAAACATCTAAATTTTAGCACTGGGGGGGTGGGGTGGGCTGGGATGGGATTAAAAGACAGAAAACTACTTGAACAATTAAGTAAACAAAAATTTTTTTATCTAAATTTTTAAAAGAAAATGCCTCTCTGACTTTGTGCACACCAACAAGGTTACCATGGGGAAAACTTTATACAGTTAAATAATTTTTTTTGGTCATTTAAACTTGGAGGTGGAAGCATAGTAGATTCTGAGCTGGTTTAAACTGGTCATTTCTAATATCAGAGCCACTAAATGTTAGTACTCTTACAAAAAATTATTCTAGTTTGCTTAAAAGTCTTAGCTTTGGTTCAACTTAGTTTGGACATTGGATTTTTTTTTAATGTTTTAAACTGTTTACCTTTGAGATCTGTAAAGTTATGACTAATGGGCCCAAGAGTACAAGCCTTTTTTGGCCTGTTAGCATGGTAAATGCTATATGTAGATTCTCTTTGGTCTAGAGTTGTGCACAAGTTAACTTAAATCTGTTAAAAATGTTTAGAGCCTCAGTGTTGGGACTTTTTTCTTTTCTAAAGAAGTAAACAAGAGCATTTTACAAAACACTATAAGGAGTGAACTCTACTGTTTCATAGTTAGAATTCTGCCACCAAGTTTTTTCAGCAGCCAAAAAAATAAAATATAACTCTACAGAAGTTAAGAACTTATACGGAATATATTGTCATGGTACAAGTTTTTGTGCCTCTCTTAGGAAATAATTGTGCCTTTATGTTTTCTTAGGTTATTATCTGAAACTTAATACAGAAGAAAATGCCTTTATTTGCTTCTTTTAGTGGTCTCACCTTTTCCTTTGATGTAGAGTGAGTAACTTAAAATAAGTAAGCCCTGTTGTGAATTTTCCCAGACTGTTCTGTTCCACATCAAGCTCTTTTAAAACAGTGGTTCCCAAACTTTTTTTTTTAATCTTAGAAATACTTATACTCTTAAAATATGCAAAGAGCTTTTTAAATTTATTTTATTTTATTATTATTTTTTTTTATCAATGTATGGTTGCTTCTGGTGCATCCCCTACTCTGAACTGGCCTGCAACCCAGGCATGTGCCCTGACGGGGAATTGAACTGCTATCTTTTGGTTCGCAGGCCTGTGCTCAGTCCACTGAGCTACACCAGCCAGGGTGCAAAGAGCTTTTAATGTGTATTATATCTATTGATACTTACCATATTGGAAGTTAAAACAAAAATACACAAGCTCTGTGAATTTTAACCTTCACAGACTAAAGACCCAAGAGAATGAATGAAAGTGACAAAGGCAAGTTACTTGGTATTCCTGTCAGAGGCCCATCCCCTGCCCCCCCCCCCGAAAGGCTGCCTCAGATGAATGTGTGTATATCGTTCTGTTGTGTATCTGTTTCTAATGACTTGACCTCAATCAAGATGGTTTGGGAACATTTCATAGAGAGGTAGATAACTAATATCACTGTTACTAGTTAGGAAATGGGAAGTGTTGTGGACTCAGTTGAATCATCTATAGTGATAAATTGTTTATGGCAGTTGAATGTCTTAAGTTAAACTTGAATACCATAATAGTTTTTAAAAATAAGTTGCCTTTCATTGTAGTTTTGTTTGTAAATATTTCCTACTGTGTCATTTGGATGGGCAGTATGACGTAGTGATAGGGAACCATGTTCCAGACACTGGTTCAGATTTCCAGTTCTTCTGTGACTTGGGCAAGTTCCTTAATTTTTCTAAGAGTATGTTTTGTTCACTCAAATATAAAATGAAGAAAAGTTATCTTATAGACTTAGAAACATAGGTATGTGTTTTCGTTTTAGACTAAAAGGATGATTTAATGTCTGGGAAATATCAAAATGAATTTAATTGCTTTGGAAAAAGTTCACAGGTGTTATATTTTATTTGACAAAATGCAATAGAAACTGTTTATGGTACTTCCAGTCATTTATCACTTCATAGAAATGGAGTCTTTAATTTCCTTATAATACTTAAAATTATTGTATCAGTATAGCAATTTTGCCCAGAGGGTAGCTCTGCTCTTAACTGTAAAGGAAATTTTATAACAGTCTTGTGAGAATGATGAGGAATTTTATTAGATGAGCAGTATTATGGCATATTGATTGCTTAAGAAGTCATATTCTTTCTGAACTCAGACTTTGGTCTGTCTCTTAGTCAATTTCCTGATCTATAAAATAGGGTTGACAAGTGTCTTTTTAAAGAACTGTGAAGTTATAACATACAAAACTAAAGCTCATAGTGTAATGTCTAGCACACATTAAAATAAACATTCCTTAAATGTTAAGTACTTCTGTAATGTGCTTATTGTAATTTTTAAAAACCTTTTTTTTTTCCCCTCCCTAGGCTATGGTGAACTAAATGGTAATGCTGGAGAAAGGGAAATACCTTTAAAGAACCTGGGTTCTGATGAAGCTACCAACCCTATTTCCAGGGTTCTCAATGGCAACCAACAAGTTTTAGACACTAATTTGAAGCAGACTGTAAAGTCCAGCACCTTTGGAAAAGCAGGAATTAAAACCAGGAATTTTATTCAGAAAAACAGTATGGACAAAAAGAATGGAAAGTCTTACGAAAATAAATCTGGAGAGAACCAGCCTGTAGATAAGAGTGATACTGTAGCAATTCCAAATGGTGTTGTAACAAATAATTCTAGCTATATTACTAATGGTTACATGGGCAAAGGAGCAGATAATGATGGTAGTGGATCTGAGAGCGGATATACCACTCCTAAAAAAAGGAAAGCTAGGCGCAATAGTGCCAAGGGTTGTGAAAACCTTAATTTAGTGCAGGACAAAATAATGCAACAGGAGACCAATGTCCCAACCTTAAAACAGGGACTTGAAACTTTCAAGCCTGACTACAGTGAACAAAAGGGAAATCGAGTAGATGGTTCGAAGCCCATTTGGAAGTACGAAACTGGGCCTGGAGGAACAAGTCGAGGAAAACTTGCTGTGGGTGATATACTGCGGAAAAGCTCTGATGTTAAACCTGGCATGAGCAGCAAAAAGTTTGATGATCGGCCCAAAGGAAAACACGCTTCTGCTGTTGCCTCCAAAGAGGACTCGTGGACCCTATTTAAACCACCCCCAGTTTTTCCAGTGGACAATAGCAGTGCTAAAATAGTTCCTAAAATAAGTTATGCAAGCAAAGTTAAGGAAAACCTCAACAAAACTGTACAGAACTCTTCTGTGTCACCATCTTCATCTTCATCCTCTTCATCGTCATCTACTGGGGAAACTCAGACCCAATCTTCAAGTCGGGTATCCCAGGTCCCTATGTCAGCGCTGAAATCTGTTACTTCGGCCACCTTTTCTAATGGGCCTGTTTTAGCAGGGACTGATGCAAGCGTGTATTCTCCAGGGGGTCAGCCACTGCTAACTACTGCTGCTAATACTCTGACACCCATCTCTTCTGGGACTGATTCGGTTCTCCAGGACAAGAGTCTGACTTCAGCAGCTGTTGAACAAATTAAGTCTAGCCTTTTTATCTACCCTTCAAATATGCAAACTGTGCTGTTGAGCACAGCACAAGTGGATCTACCCTCTCAGACAGATCAGCAAAACCTGGGGGATATCTTCCAGAATCAGTGGGGTTTATCATTTATAAATGAACCCAGTGCTGGCCCTGAGACTGTTACTGGGAAGTCATCAGATCATAAAGTAATGGAGGTGACATTTCAAGGGGAATATCCTGCCAGTTTGGTTTCACAGGGTGCTGAAATAATTCCCTCAGGAACTGAGCATCCTGTGTTTCCCAAGGCTTATGAGCTGGAAAAACGGACTAGTCCTCAAGTTCTGGGTAGCCTTCTAAAATCTGGGACTACTAGTGAGAGTGGAGCCTTATCCTTGGAACCTAGTCATATAGGTGACCTGCAAAAAGCAGACACCGGTAGTCAAGGTGCTTTAGTATTTCTCTCAAAGGACTACGAGATAGAAAATCAAAATCCTCTGGCCTCTCCTACGAACACTTTGTTGGCCTCCGCCAAAGAACAGAGATACCAGAGAGGCCTAGAAAGGAATGATAGCTGGGGTTCTTTTGACCTGAGGGCTGCTATTGTATATCACACTAAAGGTAACTCATTTGATTCTTATACAAAGATTCTTATTGGTCAATTTAATATACTTTAGAACTTAGTTGAGAATAATAATGTGGATAAGCAACCGATATACTATTTCAGGATGTTCCGAAATAGTATGGTTAAAGTTTAGAAGGAATGTTCACTTTTCCAACTTAGATGTTTTCTCTTTGTTATTTACATCATATGTATGTTTACTAGTGAGGTCACTTGATAATTCTAATTTACTTAATGAGTAGGAATAGTGGGTGCTGAATGGCATCTAGAAAATAACTTAGACAAAAGATAATGGTAACCACAATTAAACATTCTAGGGACCAAGCTCTTGGGATACTGTACTTTTCATAGCCCCAAAGCCCATGTTTTAAAGGAACCAGATATCTTTCAAGTTCCCTGCTAATATCTTTCTTAGAATATGGTATTTGTGTCTTACAGGAAATTTTGCAGTATAGCACAAGTGGTTTTATTTAAATCCACATAGCTAATGAGGTTTGATGAAGTGTACACCTCAGTGCTTTTAAGAACAGTGGTTTTCATTCTTCTACCTTTATCCCTAACCTGCCTCACTCCAGCAAATGCATACCCCCCCCTGCATGCATACACACGCCTAATACATACTGCACACTCCCATTAAAAATTATTTTTTAAAAGTTGATCTTTTTCCAGTTATTGTTGGCATAGTGTTGGTTTTGTGCACATTTCCATTTTTAACAGTGACTCATTTAGGCAGTCACTTGCCAGCTGCAGGGCAGGGGCAGCATATCACATAGTGGGGATGTGGTAATTACAATATTCTCACTGGAAGAACCACTGCCTCAGAGATGAATAACAAAGCTATTTATGTGACTTTTAAGCAGATCACCTAGCCTGCATATCCTATCTGCCAACTGGAAGACATTTAGTGAAACAAACAGATGTTTGTTTCTTTTGGGTTTTTTTTGTATTTTTTTTCTTTTAAAAAAGAGGTAGAATTGCCTTATAGGAGTTGAGAAGTAGAAATCTTGGCAGGTAAAATTATCTGTCTTCACTTTCTTCAGCACTGCTCTTTGGAAGTAAATACAAGTTAACCAGAATCTATGTTTTTAGGAAAGTTGGGGCAAAGAGAAATGCTTAGTTTCTTAAGACCTGTGGTAAATTATAAGTTAAATTCTGTCAGGGAGTCTGGTGTTTTTGGTGTTATTTTCTATTCCGTCTGCCTTTTGGAGACTATTACTTGGAATATCTACCATAGTATTTTGTACTGGTGGTCTTCTGAGCCTGAGGGCATCTGGTGTGTAATCTCCCACAACTTGCAAAAAATTCTGGGGTAAGTTGTCCCTAATGGTTGGTGGCATTGTATGATTTTTATTATAGAGAACTGTAGGCCTTTTAAAAGTGGGAAGATTAACTCCTGTTTATTTCTAGGTATTCTAACTAATGAGATCAATGGTATTTATATAAACAAAATGCCCTTACATGGATGCAGTTATATTTAGGTAGGCTGGTGTTGCTGAAAGATTTGCTTTACTCTAAAGTATGTCATTTTCAGTTTTGTAGTTGGACATCATTGAGATAAAATTGGTATAGATTGTTTTTTCATCCTAAAATGATGTGCAATACTCTGCTCAATTAGGTCCCAGAGTGGCAGATTCTTTGAATTCTTGTCAAATGTAGATTTGTCCTCCTTAGGTCACTGATTTCCCTTTTTCTTTTCATTTGTTTTGAATCACAAGTTTTTGATGATCTGAAGATCTTTTTCATAAGTGCAGGCTTGCTTTTTTCTTTTTTAAGTTTTCTTAAACACCAAAAGAGGTAATAATCAGTTGGGCTTATTGGAATATCCTTTAAAAGAGCACCTGTATTTTTCTTTGTCCTTTAATGTAGTCTTCAAGTGTTCAAAAGTAATGTCTTACTAAGTGTGTTAAATTTAGAATTGGAAGTCCTACATGTACCTTCTAACTTCAAAAATAAGCCCTTTCAACAACTTTATTTGAAAGTAGTAGGTAGAAGGAGGGTATGTTATGTCGGTGCAGTAGGAATGGTGCATGGTTTAGAGTAAACCTTAATTACTTGCTGAGTTAGAAGTACTTCAGATTTTTTATAATTTATTTATTTTTACATTAAAAAAATCTTCACCCAAGGGTATGTTTTTTTACCGATTTTAGAGAGAGAAAGACATTGATTGGCTGCCTACCATCTGTGCCCCCACTAGGGATTGAACCTGCAACCTTGTGGTATTAAGGGATAACACTTCCATCAAACAAACCACTTGATCAGGGCAGTACTTCAGATTTTTAAAAGTCTGAATGCTCAGTATAATTGAGGATATGAAGTGAGATGCATTGAGGCACAAAAAAGGGATTGATGGGAATTCTGGTTTGAGGGTTTTGGGGTTTTTTTTTAGGGGTTTTTTTTGTTTGTTTTTTAGTTTTTTAATATATATTATGCTACTAATTTTTCTTAAGAAATAAGACTGCTGGCCCTAGCTGGTGTAGCTCAGTGGATTGAGCGCGGGCCTGCGAACCAGCGAATCACGGTTCACTTCCCAGTCAGGGCACATACCTGGGTTGCAGGCCAGTTCCCAGCAGGGGATGCATCAGAAGCAACCATACATTGATATTTCTCTCCCTCTCTCCTTCCCTTCCCCTCTAAAGATAAATAAATAAAATTTAAAAAAATAAAATAGAGACATGCGTAATGACTGTGAAATTATAGTTAGTAAAAAAAAAAGACTGCGCCCTGGCTGGTGTAGCTCAGTGGATTGAGTGCAGGCCTGCGAACCAGACAATCCCGGTTCGATTCCCAGTCAGGGCACATGCCTGGGTTGCAGGCCAGTTCCCAGCAGGGGATGCACAAAAGGCAACCATACATTGATGTTTCTCTCCCTCTCTCCTTCCCTTCCCCTCTAAAGATAAATAAATAAAATCTCTTTTAAAAATCTTACTTTAAAAAAAAAGACTGCTAATCTTACTGTTATCTAGGGGCATATAATACCATTGCATAGCAATTGGTAAATATGTACCAATATTTAAGAGGCAGGTCTTCTTTTCCTGTTTGTCTAGAGTGATGCTCAAGAGGTAAAACTTGAGTAAAATGTTCTCTCTTTAAATTGATTATGAAAAAGTTAAAGTCTGTACAAAAATGGAGCCAATAATGTAATGAACTACAGTGTGCCCAGCATCTAGCTTGGACATTGTCATTCATGTTTCACCTGTTGATCTTAACACTTTTGGGGGGGGTAGGATTTTTTTGAAGTAGATTTCAGGCACAGCATTTTACTAGTTGATATTTTTGAGTTAGATAGTTTTGTGATGTACATACCCAGGACAGAACAGTTTGTTGCCTCTTTCAAAGTAGTTACTTAGAATTCTTTGATTCTTTGTCAGAGACTTTGGATCCTAACTTTGTAAGGTGAATCTTTGATTTTGAAATGGTCTTAGTCATTTGAAGCCAAGTCTTTTCAATGTGGTACATTGGTGTGAGTTGTGTGTTTTATCAGTGTTAATTTAAACTGGTTTGATTTGTCTTGCCTAGGTAATATTGCACTGAAGGATATGAAGCATTTAAAATTCTGACATTCTGGAATATTTATTAAAAATTAGTTGATATGGTATATTTTACCCAGCACATAGAGATCCAGGAGCTATGAATAGAATAAGGTTTAATTCTTTATAGTTGGGGTGAGCCAACACAAATGCTATCCAGGATAAAATAGATATCCCTGAGACAAATCTAGGGTGTTGCATGAAATTTAAAAATTTGTTTCTCTATTAACCTACACAGGTGGCAGGTTATTGACATAAGGGATTTGATTCCCTAGATCTGGGCTGGAACCTGGAATAAAAAAAATTTAATTTACTAGGTGGTTTTAAATTGCCAGCTAGGATTGAGAACTCCAGGTCTAGAGAACTTTCCTCACATTAATTCTTTTTTTTTTCTACTGTCACAGTTTTCTCTACTACTCTTTGCCACTTTTTTCTGTACTATTAAGGAGTTGTACGATAATTTGTATATGTTTTTTCTTTCTCTTATGTTGTACCTACCATATGAAGTACTCTCTTATGAAGAAGTACTTTGCTTAGTTATGGAACACTTTGACAGGGTTTTTTCCTTTAAAGAACTTAATCAAATAGAGGAGGAAACAATAACAAGTTTATGAGGTAAGATTTTTAAATGTCAGAAGAGGATACAAAATAACTAGCAGATTTCAATGAAGAGAGAATGTAATGGACTAAAAGAGGAAATGTGCAATATGTTTTCATGGAGTCCAACAGCCTTTAAACTGGGTTTTGATAGATAGGGAACATTTTTGACATATGGAAATACTGGGAAGAGGGAGATAATACGGAAGTTGGAGAATCATGAGTAAATGCAAATATTGAAAGGGATCCACTTTGGATGTTCAGAGGAGCTATAAAAGAGAAGGAAGGTAAGTTGCTGCCAGATCCTGGAGGTTTCTCATTTCAGTCTGGAGGCTGGGGGAAGTCACTGAATCAGGGAGATAGGCTGGTGGAATGGAAGTAATTTATATGACAGATGAGTTTTAATGCTGCTCTTCCCAGTTCCTGTAACTTAGGCAAATCATTTGTCAATTTTAAGCCTGGGTTTCCTGATTTTATAAAACAAATATATCAGCTTTTTGAAAATCCTATCAAATTATACTCAAGTGATTTAAATACTGAGTTGGTATTAGGCAGTTGACCTGTAGATCTGTGTTCAAATAGATGAATGTGACACCAATTTTGTAGGGTAGGTTGGAAGCCTATTTTCTGGTGACTAGAAATAGGTCAGTTGGACTCTTGGGACAGACCAGGCAGAGAAATAATAAAGAGTTTTCTCTTTGTACTTGTAGTCATGTAAACATATTATTTATCACCAAATAAGTATTTACTTTAATAAAGTTTTTATGTTGGTCTTGACTGGTGTAGCTTAGTGGATTGAGTGCCACCCTGCTAAAGGTCACCTGTTTGATTACTGGTCAGGACACATGCGTGGGTTTGGGGCCAGGTCCCTAGGT